TGGGTGAGTAGCTGGGTGGGTGAGTAGCTGGGGGGGAGTGATAGCGGTGGGTGAGTAGCTGGGTGGGTGAGTAGCTGGTGGGTGAGTAGCTGGGTGGGTGAGTAGCTGGTGGGTTGAGTAGCTGGGGGGTGAGTAGCTGGGTGGTGAGTAGCGGGTGGGTGAGTAGCTGGGTGGGTGAGTAGCTGGGTGGGTGAGTAGCTGGGTGGGTGAGTAGCTGGGTGGGTGAGTAGTTGGTGGGTGAGTGAGTAGCGCTGGGTGAGTGAGTAGCTGGGTGGGTGAGTGAGTAGCTCGGTGGGTGAGTCAGTAGCTCGGTGGGTGGGTGAGTAGCTGGGTGGTTGATGAGTAGCTGGGTGGGTGGGTGAGTAGCTGGGTGGGGGGTGAGTAGTTGGCTGGGTGGGTGAGTAGCTGGGTGGGTGGGTGAGTAGCTGGGTGGGTGGGTGAGTAGCTGAGTGGGTGGGTGAGTAGCTGAGTGGGTGGGTGAGTAGCTGGGTGGGTGGGTGAGTAGCTGGGTGGGTGGGGTGAGTAGTGGGTGGGTGAGTAGCTGGTTGGGTGAGTGAGTAGTGGGTGGGTGCGTGAGTAGCTGGGTGGGTGGGTGAGTAGCTGGGTGGGTGGGTGAGTAGGGGTGGTGGGTGAGTATATGGGTGGGTGGGTGAGTGAGTAGAGTGGGTGGGTGGGTGAGTGAGTAGCTGGGTGGGTGGGTGAGTAGCTGGGTGGGTGGTGAGTAGCTGAGTGGGTGGGTGAGTAGCTGAGTGGGTGGGTGAGTAGCTGAGTGGGTGAGTAGCTGAGTGGGTCAGTGAGTAGCTGTGTGGATAGCTGAGTGGGTGGGTGAGTAGCTGGGTGGGTGAGTGAGAGCTGGTGAGGTGGATGGGTGGGTGGGTGAGTGAGTAGCTGTGTGGGTGGTGAGTAGCTCAGTGGGTGAGTGGGTAGCTGGGTGAGTGAGTAGCTGAGTGGGTGGGGAGTGAGTAGCTGAGGGTGGAGTGAGTAGCTGAGTGGGTGGGTGAGTGAGTAGTAGGTGAGTGAGTGGGTGAGTGAGTACCTGTGGGTGAGTGAGTGGGTGAGTAGCTGGGTGAGTGGAGTAGCTGGTGGTGGTGAGTGAGTAGCTGGTGGGTGAGTGAGTGAGTAGTGGTTGAGTAGGTGGCTGGGTGGGTGTGAGTAGAGTGTGGGTGAGTTAGTGGTGAGTAGCTGGGTGAGGAGTAGCTGTGGGTGAGTGAGTAGCTGGGTGGGTGAGTGAGTGAGTAGCTGGGTGGGTGGGTGAGTGAGTAGCTGGGTGGGTGGTGAGTGAGTAGGGTTGAGTAGGTGGCTGGGGGTTGAATGAGTAGCTGGGTTAGTGAGTAGCTGTGTGGTGAGTGAGTAGCTGGGTGGGTGAGTGAGTAGCTGGTTGAGTAGCTGGTGGGTGGTGAGTGAGTAGCTGGTTGAGTAGGTGGCTGGGTGGGTGAATGAGTAGCTGGGTGAGTGAGTGGGTGAGTGAGTAGCTGAGTGGGTGGGTGAGTAGCTCAGTGAGTGAGTGAGTAGCTGGGTGGATGGGCAGGTTGCTGCTACTGACTCCCCACTCCCCACCCCCTGCCCCCCCCCCTTTGCCTCTACACCGTCAGGGCCCCCCCCCTCCCCGGCGTTGCCATGGGCAACACGACGAGCGAGCGGGGTGGTGGTGGTGGTGGTGGGGGCTCCGTGGGGGCGGGGGGGGGGGCCAGAAGCCCCCCCGCAGGGACAGCGGTGGGGGCGGCGGGGGAGGGGCGGGGGGGGGGGGGGGGGGGGTGGGCTGCCCCCCAAGGATCACGACCGCCCCACCAAGATCCTCATGGACAGCCCCGACGACCTCTACATCTTCCACACGGGGAGAGCAAGGTTCTTAATACACTACACTATACACTACACTATACAATACACTATACACTACTACACTATACACTACACTATACACTACTACACTACACACTACTACACTACTACACTATACACTACAACTACACACTACTACACTATACACTACACTATACACTACATCTTCCACACGGGGGAGAGCAAGGTCCTTACACTACACTATACACTACATTATACACTACACTATACACTACACTATACACTACACTATACACTACACTATACACTACACTATACACTACTACACTATACACTACACTATACACTACATCTTCCACACGGGGAGAGCAAGGTTCTTTATACACTACACTACACTATACACTACACTATACACTACACTATACACTACACTATACACTACACTATACACTACACTATACACTACATCTTCCACACGGGGAGAGCAAGGTCCTTTATACACTATACACTACTACACTACATACTATACACTACATCTTCCACACGGGGGAGAGCAAGGTTCTTAATACACTACACTATACACTACACTATACACTACACTATACACTACACTATACACTACACTATACACTACACTATACACTACACTATACACTACACTATACACTACACTATACACTACTACACTATACACTATACTATACACTATACTATACACTACATCTTCCACACGGGGGAGAGCAAGGTCCTTACACTACACTATACACTACACTATACACTACACTATACACTACACTATACACTACACTATACACTACACTATACACTACACTATACACTACACTATACACTACACTATACACTACTACTATACTATACACTATACACTACACTATACACTACACTATACACTACTACACTATACTCTACATCTTCCACACGGGGGAGAGCAAGGTTCTTTATTACAATACACTATACACTACACTATACACTACACTATACACTACATCTTCCACACGGGGGAGAGCAAGGTTCTTTATACACTACACTACACTATACACTACACTATACACTACACTATACACTACACTATACACTACACTATACACTACATCTTCCACACGGGGGAGAGCAAGGTTCTTAATACACTACACTATACACTACTACACTATACACTACTACACTATACACTACACTATACACTACACTATACACTACACTATACACTACACTATACACTACACTATACACTACACTATACACTACACTATACATTACATCTTCCACACGGGGGAGAGCAAGGTTCTTTATACACTACACTATACACTACTACACTATACACTACACTATACACTACATCTTCCACACGGGGGAGAGCAAGGTTCTTTATACTCTACACTATACACTACTACTATACACTATACACTACACTACACTATACACTACACTATACACTACACTATACTATACACTATACTATACACTATACTATACACTATACTCTACACTATACTATACACTACACTATACACTACACTATACACTACATCTTCCACACGGGGAGAGCAAGGTTCTTTATACACTACACTATACACTACACTACACTATACACTACCTATACTCTACATCTTCCACATGGGGGAGCAAGGTTCTTAATACACTACACTGTACACTACACTATACACTACTACACTATACACTACACTATACACTACACTATACACTATACTACACACTACACTATACACTACACTATACACTACACTATACACTACACTATACACTACACTATACACTACACACTGCTATACACTACACTATACACTACATCTTCCACACGGGGGAGAGCAAGGTCCTTTATACACTACACTATACACTACACTATACACTACACTATACACTGCACTATACACTGCACTATACACTACACTATACACTACACTATACACTACTACACTATACACTACACTATATACTATACACTACTACACTATAAACTATTACACTATACACTATTACACTATACACTACACTATACACTACACTATACACTACACTATACACTACTACACTATACACTACTACACTATACACTACTACACTATACACTACTACACTATACACTATACACTACACTATACACTACATCTTCCACACGGGAGAGCAAGGTCCTTTATACACTACACTATACACTACACTATACACTACACTATACACTACACTACACTATACACTACACTATACACTACTAAACTATACACTACACTATACTACATTATACACTATACACTACACTATACACTACTATACACTACTACACCACTATACACTACTACACTATACACTACTACACTATACACTACTACACTATACACTACTACACTATACACTACTACACTATACACTACTACACTATACACTACTACACTATACACTACTACACTATACACTACTACACTATACACTACATCTTCCACACGGGGGAGAGCAAGGTCCTTTATACACTACACTATACTACACTACACTATACACTACACTATACTACACTACACTATACACTACACTATACACTACATAATACACTACTAGACTATACACTACTACACTATACACTACTACACTATACACTACACTACTATACACTACACTACTATACACTACACTACTATACACTACACTACTATACACTACACTACTATACACTACACTACTATACACTACACTACTATACACTACACTACTATACACTATACACTACACTATACACTACACTATACACTCTACATCTTCCACACGGGGGAGAGCAAGGTTCTTTATACACTATACACTACTACACTATACACTACACTATACACTACACTATACACTACTACATTATACACTATACACTACACTATACACTACACTATACACTACACTATACTACATTATACACTACACTATGCACTACACTATACACTACACTATACACTACACTATACACTACACTATACACACTATACACACTATACACTACTACACTATACACTACTACACTATACACTACTACACTATACACTACTACACTATACACTACTACACTATACACTACTACTACACTATACACTACTACACTATACACTACTACACTATACACTACTACACTATACACTACTACACTATACACTACTACACTATACACTACACTATACACTACTATACTCTACATCTTCCACACGGGGGAGAGCAAGGTCCTTACACTACACTATACACTACACTATACACTACACTATACACTATACTATACACTACACTATACACTACACTATACTATACACTATACACTACACTATACACTACACTATACACTACACTATACTACACTATACACTACACTATACTATACACTATACTATACACTATACTATACACTATACTACACTATACACTATACTATACACTATACTATACACCACACTATACACCACACTATACACTATACACTACTACACTATACACTACTACATTATACACTACACTACACTATACACTACACTATACACTACACTATACACTACACTACACTATACACTACACTATACACTACACTATACACTACACTATACACTACACTAAACACTATACTCTTCACTATACTCTTCACTATACTCTACTACATTATACACTACACTACTATACACTATTCTCTACTACATTATACACTACACTACTATACACTATTCTCTACTACATTATACACTACACTACTATACACTATACACTACACTATTACACTATACACCATACACTATACTCTACCATATACTACATTATACACTATGCACTACACTACTATACTGTACACGACACTACTACACTACACTATACACTACCATATACTCTACTACATTATACACTATACTCTACACTACACTATACTCTACACTACACTATACTCTACTACACTATACACTACTATACACTACACTACTACATTATACACTACTACACACAATACACTACAACACTACTACACACTACACTACACACTACACTTCACTATACACTACTACACTACACTACTACATTATACACTATACACTACTACACTATACACTACTACACTACTACTTTATACACAATACACTACACTACTATACTCTACACTAGACTCTACACTAGACTCTACTACATACTCTACTACATTATACACTATACTCTACACTACTATATACTATACACTACACTATACTCTACACTACTATACACTATACTCTACACTATACTATACACTATACTCTACTACATACTCTACTACATTATACACTATACACTACTACACACTATACACTACTACACTATACTATACACTACTACACTATACTATACACTACACTACTATACACTACACTATATACTACACTACACTACTATACACTACACTATATACTACACTACTACACTATACACTACACTACTGTACACTACTACACTACATTACACTACACTACTATACACTACACTACTACACTATACACTACACTATACCTACCACATTATACACTATACACTACACTATACACTACACTCCTCTATACTACACTATACACTATACTACACTATACACTATACTACACTATACACTATACTACACTATACTACACTATACACATATACACTCTATACACAACTGTACACTCTATACACTACTGTACACTAGATACACTACTGTACACTAGATACACTACTGTACACTAGATACACTACTGTACACTAGATACACTACTATACACTAGACACACTACTATACACTACACACTATAGACTATACACCACTGTCTCTGTAGTCTGTGTGTAGCTGTGTGTCTGTGTGTCTCTGTCTGTGTGTAGCTGTGTGTCTGTGTGTCCTCTGTGTGTCCTCTGTGTAGCTGTGTGTCTCTGTGTAGCTGTGTGTCTCTGTGTAGCTGTGTGTAGCTGTGTCTCTGTGTAGCTGTGTGTCTCTGTGTGGCTGTGTCTCTGTGTCTGTGTCTATGTGTAGCTGTGTGTCTCTGTCTATGTGTGTCTCTGTGTCTCTGTCTATGTGTAGCTGTGTGTCTCTGTCTCTGTGTCTATGTGTAGCTGTGTGTCTCTGTGTCTCTGTGTCTATGTGTAGCTGTGTGTCTCTGTCTATGTGTAGCGGTGTGTCTCTGTCTCTGTGTCTATGTGTAGCTGTGTCTCTGTCTCTGTGTCTATGTGTAGCTGTGTGTCTCTGTCTCTGTGTCTATGTGTAGGCTGTGTGTCTCTGTCTCTGTGTCTATGTGTAGCTGTGTGTCTCTGTCTCTGTGTCTATGTGTAGCTGTGTTGTCTCTGTCTCTGTGTCTATGTGTAGCTGTGGTGTCTCTGTCTATGTGTAAGCTGTGTGTCTCTGTCTATGTGTCTATGTGTAGCTGTGTGTCTCTGTCTATGTGTAGCTGTGTGTCTCTGTCTCTGTGTCTATGTGTAGCTGTGTGTCTCTGTGTAGCTCTGTCTGTGTGTCTGTGTGTCTATGTGTCTCTGTCTCTGTAGCTGTGTGTCTCTGTAGCTTTGTCTCTGGTGTCTATGTGTAGCTCTGTCTCTGTGTCTGTGTGTCCTCTGTGTAGCTGTGTGTCTCTGTCTCTGTGTCTGTGTAGCTGTGTGTCTCTGTCTCTGTGTCCTGTGTAGCTGTGTGTCTCTGTCTCTGTGTCTGTGTAGCCTCTGTCTCTGTACTCTGTCTATTGTAGCTGTGTGTCTCTGTCTCTGTGCTATGTAGCTGTGTGTCTCTGTCTCTGTGGCTATGTGTACTGTGTGTCTCTGTCTCTGTGGCTATGTGTAGCTGTGTGTCTCTGTCTCTGTGTCTATGTGTAGCTGTGTGTCTCTGTCTCTGTGTCTATGTGTAGCTGTGTGTCTCTGTCTCTGTGTCTATGTGTAGCTGTGTGTCTCTGTCTCTGTGTCTATGTGTAGCTGTGTGTCTCTGTCTCTGTGTCTATGTGTAGCTGTGTGTCCTCTGTCTCTGTGTCTATGTGTAGCTGTGTGTCTCTGTCTCTGTGTCTATGTGTAGCTGTGTGTCCTCTGTCCCTCTGTGTCTATGTGTAGCTGTGTGTCTCTGTCTCTGTGTCTATGTGTAGCTGTGTGTCTCTGTCTCTGTGTCTATGTGTAGCTGTGTGTCTCTGTCTCTGTGTCTATGTGTAGCTGTGTGTCTCTGTCTCTGTTCTATGTGTAGCTGTGTGTCTCTGTCTCTGTGTCTATGTGTAGCTGTGTGTCTCTGTCTCTGTGTCTATGTGTAGCTGTGTGTCTCTGTCTCTGTGTCTATGTGTAGCTGTGTGTCTCTGTCTCTGTGTCTATGTGTAGCTGTGTGTCTCTGTGTAGCTCTGTCTCTATGTGTAGCTGTGTGTCTCTGTGTAGCTCTGTCTCTATGTGTAGCTGTGTGTCTCTGTGTAGCTCTGTCTCTATGTGTAGCTGTGTGTCTCTGTGTAGCTCTGTCTCTGTGTAGCTGGGTGTCTCTGTGTAGCTCTGTCTCTGTGTCTCTGTGTAGCTGTGTGTAGACAAGGAGTTTGCAGCTTGGCAGGAGGACGTAGAGCTGTCTGGGGGACTCTGTCTCTGTGTCTGTGTAGCTGTGTCTATGTGTGTCTCTGTGTGTAGCTGTGTCTGTGTGTCTCTGTGTAGCTGTGTGTAGCTGTGTGTAGCTGTGTCTATGCGTATCTGTGTAGCTCTGTCTCTGTGTCTGTGTAGCTGTGTGTCTGTGTAGCTGTGTGTCTGTGTGTAGACAAGGAGTTTGCAGCTTGGCAGGAGGACGTAGAGCTGTCTGTGTGTCTCTGTGTAGCTGTGTGTAACTGTGTCTGTGTGTGTAACTGTGTGTCTGTGTGTGTAACTGTGTGTCTGTGTGTAGCTGTGTCTCTGTGTGTCTATGTGTGTGTCTGTGTGTCTGTGTGTATCTCTGTGTAGCTGTGTGTAGACAAGGAGTTTGCAGCTTGGCAGGGAGGATGTAGAGCTGTCTGTGTGTCTGTGTGTAGCTGTGTGTCTGTGTGTGTAACTGTGTGTCTGTGTGTAGCTGTGTAACTGTGTGTCTCTGTGTCTGTGTGTCTCTGTCTCTGTGTGTCTGTCTGTGTGTAGCTGTGTGTAGACAAGGAGTTTGCAGCTTGGCAGGAGGACGTAGAGCTGTCTGTGTGTCTCTGTCTCTGTGTCTGTATCTATGTATGTGTCTGTGTAGCTGTGTGTCTGTGTGTCTCTGTCTGTGTGTCTGTCTCTGTGTAGCTGTGTGTAGACAAGGAGTTTGCAGCTTGGCAGGAGGGCGTAGAGCTGTCTGTGTGTCTGTGTGTCTATGTATGTGTCTGTGTCTCTGTGTGTCTCTGTGTGTAGCTGTGTCTGTCTGTAGCTGTGTGTCTGTGTGTGTGTAACTGTGTGTCCTCTGTGTGTCTGTGTAGCTGTGTGTAGACAATGAGTTTGCAGCTTGGCAGGAGGACGTAGAGCTGTCTGTGTCTGTGTGTAACTGTGTCTCTGTGTGTGTAACTGTGTCTCTGTGTCTCTGTGTGTCTCTGTGTGTCTGTGTGTCTGTGTAGCTGTGTGTCTCTGTGTGTAGCTGTGTCTCTGTGTCTGTGTGTGTCTCTGTGTGTCTCTGTGTGTCTATGTGTGTGTCTGTGTGTCTGTGTAGCTGTGTGTAGACAAGGAGTTTGCAGCTTGGCAGGAGGACGTAGAGCTGTCTGTGTGTCTGTGTGTCTCTGTGTCTCTGTGTGTCTGTGTGTGTAACTGTGTGTCTCTGTGTGTCTCTGTGTGTCTCTGTGTGTCTGTGTGTGTCTGTGTGTCTGTGTAGCTGTGTGTCTATGTGTGTCTCTGTGTGTCTGTGTGTCTGTGTAGATGTGTGTAGACAAGGAGTTTGCAGCTTGGCAGGAGGACGTAGAGCTGTCTGTGTGTCTCTGTGTGTCTCTGTGTGTCTATGTGTGTGTCTGTGTCTGTGTGTCTGTGTCTGTGTGTCTGTGTAGATGTGTGTAGACAAGGAGTTTGCAGCTTGGCAGGAGGACGTAGAGCTGTCTGTGTGTCTCTGTGTGTCTCTGTGTGTAGCTGTGTGTCTCTGTGTGTCTGTGTGTCTGTGTAGCTGTGTGTCTGTGTGTCTGTGTAGACAAGGAGTTTGCAGCTTGGCAGGAGGACGTAGAGCTGTCTGTGTAGCTGTGTCTCTGTGTGTCTCTGTGTGTCTCTGTGTGTCTCTGTGTGTCTGTGTGTCTGTGTAGCTGTGTGTAGACAAGGAGTTTGCAGCTTGGCAGGAGGACGTAGAGCTGTCTGTGTGTCTCTGTGTAGCTGTGTCTGTGTGTCTCTGTGTGTCTATGTGTGTCTCTGTGTGTCTGTGTGTCTGTGTCTGTGTGTGTCTGTGTAGGTGTGTGTAGACAAGGAGTTTGCAGCTTGGCAGGAGGACGTAGAGCTGTCTGTGTGTAGCTGTGTGTCTGTGTGTGTAACTGTGTGTCTCTGTGTATCTCTGTGTGTAGCTGTGTCTGTGTGTAGCTGTGTGTCTGTGTGTCTGTGTCTGTGTGTCTGTGTAGATGTGTGTAGACAAGGAGTTTGCAGCTTGGCAGGAGGACGTAGAGCTGTCTGTGTGTCTGTGTGTGTCTGTGTGTCTCTGTGTGTCTATGTGTGTGTCTGTGTCTGTGTGTCTGTGTAGCTGTGTGTCTGTGTGTGTAACTGTGTCTCTGTGTGTCTATGTGTGTCTCTGTGTCTCTGTGTGTCTATGTGTGTGTCTGTGTGGCTGTGTGTAGACAAGGAGTTTGCAGCTTGGCAGGAGGACGTGGAGCTGTCTGTGTCTGTGTGTCTCTGTCTCTGTGTGTCTCTGTGTGTCTCTGTGTGTCTATGTGTGTGTCTGTGTGTCTGTGTAGCTGTGTGTAGACAAGGAGTTTGCAGCTTGGCAGGAGGACGTGGAGCTGTCTGTGTGTAGCTGTGTGTCTCTGTGTCTCTGTGTGTAGCTGTGTGTCTCTGTGTGTCTGTGTGTGTAACTGTGTGTCTATGTGTAACTGTGTGTCTCTGTGTCTCTGTGTGTATCTGTGTGTCTCTGTGTGTCTGTGTGTCTGTGTAGCTGTGTGTAGACAAGGAGTTTGCAGCTTGGCAGGAGGACGTAGAGCTGTCTGTGTGTCTCTGTGTGTGTCTGTGTGTCTCTGTGTGTGTGTAACTGTGTGTCTATGTGTGTGTCTGTGTGTCTCTGTGTGTCTGTGTAGCTGTGTGTAGACAAGGAGTTTGCAGCTTGGCAGGAGGACGTGGAGCTGTCTGTGTGTCTCTGTCTCTGTGTGTCTCTGTGTGTCTCTGTGTGTCTCTGTGTGTCTGTGTAACTGTGTGTCTGTGTGTCTGTGTAGCTGTGTGTAGACAAGGAGTTTGCAGCTTGGCAGGAGGACGTGGAGCTGTCTGTGTGTCTCTGTGTGTCTGTGTGTAACTGTGTGTCTCTGTGTGTCTATGTGTGTGTCTGTGTGTCTGTGTAGCTGTGTGTAGACAAGGAGTTTGCAGCTTGGCAGGAGGACGTGGAGCTGTCTGTGTGTAGCTGTGTGTCTCTGTGTGTCTCTGTGTGTAGCTGTGTGTGTAACTGTGTGTCTCTGTGTCTCTGTGTGTGTCTGTGTGTCTCTGTGTCTATGTGTGTCTGTCTGTGTGTGTCTGTGTAGCTGTGTGTAGACAAGGAGTTTGCAGCTTGGCAGGAGGACGTGGAGCTGTCTGGGGGACTCCCTCCTCCTGCTCGACCCACCGTCTTCCGCTGGCCCGGCGGAGGGAGAGACGTCTACTTGGCGGGCTCCTTCGACAGCTGGACGTCTAAAATCCCACTCACAAAGAGGTGACCAGGCTGACTAGCACGCTGACTAGCAGGCTGACTAGCACGCTGACTAGCACGCTAACACGCTGACTAGCACGCTGACTAGCAGGCTGACTAGCAGGCTAGCACACTGACTAGTAGGCTGACTAGCAGGCTGACTAGCAGGCTGACTAGCAGGCTGACTAGCACGCTCACTAGCACGCTGACTAGCAGGCTGACTAGCACGCTCACTAGCACGCTGACTAGCAGGCTAGCACACTGACTAGTAGGCTGACTAGCACGCTCACTAGCACGCTGACTAGCACGCTAACACGCTGACTAGCACTCTAGTTAACACTCTGACTAGCACGCTGACTAGCAGGCTGACTAGCACGCTGACTAGCAGGCTGACTAGCACTCTGACTAACACTCTGACTAGCACGCTCACTAGCACGCTGACTAGCACGCTGACTAGCACGCTAACACGCTGACTAGCACTCTAGTTAACACTCTGACTAGCACGCTGACTAGCACGCTGACTAGCAGGCTAGCACACTGACTAGTAGGCTGACTAGTAGGCTGACTAGCAGGCTGACTAGCAGGCTGACTAGCAGGCTGACTAGCAGGCTGACTAGTAGGCTGACTAGTAGGCTGACTAGCAGGCTGACTAGCAGGCTGACTAGCACTCTGACTAACACTCTGACTAACACTCTGACTAGCACGCTGACTAACACGCTGACTAGTAGGCTGACTAGCACTCTGACTAGCACTCTGACTAACACTCTGACTAGCACTCTGACTAGCACTCTGACTAGCACTCTGACTAGCACTCTGACTAGCACTCTGACTAGCACTCTGACTAGCACTCTGACTAACACTCTGACTAGCACTCTGACTAACACTCTGACTAACACTCTGACTAGCACTCTGACTAGCACTCTGACTAACACTCTGACTAACACTCTGACTGGCACTCTGACTAACACTCTGACTAGCACTGACTAGCACTCTGACTAACACTCTGACTAGCACTCTGACTAGCACTCTGACTAGCACTCTGACTAGCACTGACTAACACTCTGACTAACACTCTGACTAGCACTCTGACTAGCACTCTGACTAACACTCTGACTAGCACTCTGACTAGCACTCTGACTAGCACTCCTGACTAACACTCTGACTAGCACTCTGACTAACACTCTGACTAGCACTCTGACTAGCACTCTGACTAGCACTCTGACTAGCACTCTGACTAACACTCTGACTAACGCTCTGACTAGCGCTCTGACTAGCGCTCTGACTAGCGCTCTGACTAGCGCTCTGACTAGCGCTCTGACTAGCGCTCTGACTAACGCTCTGACTAGCGCTCTGACTAACGCTCTGACTAACGCTCTGACTAGCGCTCTGACTAGCACTCTGACTAGCACTCTGACTAGCACTCTGACTAGCACTCTGACTAGCACTCTGACTAGCACTCTGACTAACACTCTGACTAGCACTCTGACTAGCACTCTGACTAACACTCTGACTAACACTCTGACTAGCACTCTGACTAGCACTCTGACTAGCACTCTGACTAACACTCTGACTAGCACTCTGACTAGCACTCTGACTAGCACTCTGACTAGCACTCTGACTAGCACTCTGACTAGCACTCTGACTAACACGCTGACTAACACTCTGACTAACACTCTGACTAGCACTCTGACTAGCACTCTGACTAGCACTCTGACTAGCACTCTGACTAGCACTCTGACTAGCACTCTGACTAGCACTCTGACTAGCACTCTGACTAGCACTCTGACTAGCACTCTGACTAGCACTCTGACTAGCACTCTGACTAGCACTCTGACTAGCACTCTGACTAGCACTCTGACTAGCACTCTGACTAGCACTCTGACTAGCACTCTGACTAGCACTCTGATTAGCACTCTGACTAGCACTCTGACTAGCACTCTGACTAGCACTCTGACTAGCACTCTGACTAACACTCTGACTAGCACTCTGACTAACACGCTGACTAACTCTGACTAACACTCTGACTAGCACTCTGACTAACACTCTGACTAACACTCTGACTAACACTCTGACTAACACTCTGACTAGCCCTGACTAGCCCTCTGACTAACACTCTGACTAATAGAGACGTCTACCTGACGGGCTGACTGGCTGGCTGGCTGGCTGACTGAGTGACTGACTGACTGAGTGACTGGCTGGCTGAGTGACTGGCTGGCTGAGTGACTGACTGGCTGAGTGACTGACTGGCTGAGTGACTGACTGACTGGCTGAGTGACTGACTGGCTGAGTGAGTGACTGACTGAGTGACTGGCTGAGTGACTGACTGACTGACTGAGTGACTGGCTGACTGAGTGACTGGCTGAGTGACTGACTGACTGACTGAGTGACTGGCTGACAGACTGACTGACTGGCTGAGTGACTGACTGAGTGAGTGACTGGCTGACTGAGTGACTGGCTGACTGAGTGACTGACTGAGTGAGTGACTGGCTGACTGAGTGACTGGCTGACTGAGTGACTGGCTGAGTGAGTGACTGGCTGAGTGAGTGACTGGCTGACTGAGTGACTGGCTGAGTGAGTGACTGGCTGAGTGACTGACTGGCTGAGTGACTGACTGGCTGAGTGACTGACTGGCTGAGTGACTGACTGAGTGACTGACTGGCTGGTTGGCTGACTGACTGACTGAGTAACTGACTGGCTGAGTGACTGACTGACTGACTGGCTGAGTGACTGACTGAGTGACTGAGTGGCTGACTGACTGACTGGCTGAGTGGCTGACTGAGTGACTGACTGAGTGACTGACTGGCTGAGTGACTGAGTGACTGGCTGACTGGCTGACTGACTGACTGGCTGGCTGACTGACTGACTGACTGAGTGACTGGCTGACTGGCTGACTGACTGAGTGAGTGAGTGACTGCCTGGCTGACTGACTGACTGGCTGACTGACTGACTGGTTGACTGGCTGAGTGACTGACTGACTGGCTGACTGGCTGGCTGACTGACTGGCTGAGTGACTGACTGACTGAGTGACTGACTGGCTGAGTGACTGACTGACTGAGTGACTGTCTTCCCACCGCGTGTAGTCACAACGACTTTGTGGCTATTCTGGAGCTCCCGGAGGGCGAGCATCAGTACAAGTTCTACGTGGACGGCCAGTGGCTCCACGACCCCAATGAAGTAACGCTCGCACGCTTACACACTCACTCACACGCTCACTCACTCACACGCTCACTCACTCACCTACTCACCCACTAACTCACTCACACGCTCACTCACTCGCCCACTCACACGCTCACATACACGCTCACTCACACGCTCACCCGCTCACTCACACGCTCGCTCACCTACTCACCCACTCACTCACTCACTCACCCACTCATTCACCTACTCACCCACTCACTCACCCACTCACTCACCCACCCACTCCCCCACCCACTCACCCACTCCCCCACCCAGTCACCCACTCACCCACTCACCCACTCACCCACCCACTCACTCACCCACTCACTCACTCACTCACCCACCCACTCGCTCGCTCCCTCACTCACTCGCTCGCACACCCACTCACCCACTCACTCACCCGCTCACACGCTCGCACGCTCACCCGCTCGGTCACCCACTCACCCACCGACTCGCCCACTGACTCACCCACTCACCCTCTCACCTGCTGTGTGTAGTCCGTGGTGACGAGTAACCTGGGCACAGTCAACAACCTCATCCACTCACTCACTCACTCACCCACTCACTCACCCACTCACTCACTCACCCACCCACCCACTCACTCACCCACTCACCCACCCACTCACCCACCCACTCACCCACCCACTCACCCACCCACCCACCCACTCACCCACCCACCCACCCACTCACCCACCCACCCACTCACTCACTCACCCACTCACTCACCCACCCCACCCACCCACTCACTCACCCACACACCCACCCACCCACTCACCCACCCACTCACCCACTCACTCACCCACCCACCCACTCACCCACCCACTCACCCACCCACCCACCCACTCACCCACTCACTCACCCACTCACCCACCCACTCACCCACTCACTCACCCACTCACTCACCCACCCACCCACTCACCCACCCACCCACTATGTCTGTGTGTAGCCCGTAGTGACGAGTAACCTGGGCACAGTCAACAACCTCATCCACTCACTCACCCACCCACTCACCCACCCACCCACCCACTCACCCACTCACTCACCCACTCACCCACCCACTCACCCACCCACTCACTCACCCACTCACCCACCCACTCACCCACCCACCCACTCACCCACCCACCCACTGTGTGTGTAGCCTGTAGTGACGAGTAACCTGGGCACAGTGAACAACCTCATCCACTCACCCACCCACCCACTCACTCACTCACTCACCCACCCACTCACTCACTCACCTACCCACTCACCCACCCACCCACTCACCCACCCACCCACTCACCCACTCACCCACCCACTCACCCTCTCACTCACCCACCCACTCACCCACCCACTCACCCACCCACTCACCCACCCACCCACTCACCCACCCACCCACTCACCCACTCACCCACTCACTCACCCACCCACCCACCTGCTGTGTCTGTGTGTAGCCCGTAGTGACGAGTAACCTGGGCACAGTGAACAACCTCATCCACTCACTCACCCACTCACTCACCCACTATGTCTGTGTAGCCTGTAGTGACGAGTAACCTGGGCACAGTGAACAACCTCATCCACTCACTCACCCACTCACCCACCCACCCACCCACTCACCCACTAACCCACCCACTCACCACCCACCCACCTGCTGTCTGTGTGTAGCCTGTAGTGACGAGTAACCTGGGCACAGTGAACAACCTCATCCACTCACTCACCCACTCACTCACCCACCCACTCACTCACCCACTCACTCACCCACCCACTCACCCACCCACTCACCCACTCACTCACCCACCCACTCACTCACCCACTCACTCACCCACCCACTCACCCACTCACCCACTCACCCACTCACCCACCCACTCACCCACTCACCCACCCACTCACCCACCCACCTGCTGTCTGTGTGTAGCCTGTAGTGACGAGTAACCTGGGCACAGTGAACAACCTCATCCACTCACTCACCCACTCACCCACCCACTCACCCACCCACCCACTCACTCACCCACTCACCCACCCACTGTGTGTGTAGCCTGTAGTGACGAGTAACCTGGGCACAGTGAACAACCTCATCCACTCACTCACCCACTCACCCACCCACTCACCCACCCACCCACTCACCCACTCACCCACTCACCCACCCACCCACTGTGTGTGTAGCCCGTGGTGACGAGTAACCTGGGCACAGTGAACAACCTCATCCACTCACTCACCCACTCACCCACCCACCCACTCACCCACCCACCCACTCACCCACCCACCCACTGTGTGTGTAGCCGTGGTGACGAGTAACCTGGGCACAGTGAACAACCTCATCCACTCACTCACCCACTCACCCACCCACTCACCCGCTCACCCACCCACTCACCCACTCACCCACTCACCCACCCACCCACTCACCCACTCACCCACTCACCCACCCACTCACCACCCACCCACCCACTCACCCACCCACTCACCCACCCACTCACTCACCCACCCACTGTGTGTGTAGCCCGTGGTGACGAGTAACCTGGGCACAGTGAACAACCTCATCCACTCACTCACCCACTCACCCACCCACTCACCCGCTCACCCACCCACTCACCCACTCACCCACTCACCCACCCACCCACTCACCCACTCACCCACTCACCCACCCACTCACCCACCCACTCACCCACCCACCCACCCACTCACCCACCCACTCACCCACCCACTCACTCACCCACCCACTGTGTGTGTAGCCCGTGGTGACGAGTAACCTGGGCACAGTGAACAACCTCATCCACTCACTCACCCACTCACCCACCCACACACCCGCTCACCCACCCACTCACCCACTCACCCACTCACCCACCCACCCACCCACCCACTCACCCACTCACCCACCCACTCACCCACCCACTCACCCACCCACCCACCCACCCACTCACTCACCCACCCACTCACTCACCCACTCACTCACCCACCCACCCACTGTGTGTGTAGCCCGTGGTGACGAGTAACCTGGGCACAGTGAACAACCTCATCCACTCACTCATCCGCTCACCCACCCACTCACCCACCCACCCACTCACCCACTCACCCACTCACCCACCCACCCACTGTGTGTGTAGCCCGTGGTGACGAGTAACCTGGGCACAGTGAACAACCTCATCCACTCACTCACCCACTCACCCACCCACTCACCCACCCACCCACTCACCCACTCACTCACCCACCCACCCACTCACCCACCCACTCACCCACTCCCCCACCCAGTCACCCACTCACCCACTCACCCACTCACCCACCCACTCACTCACTCACCCACCCACTCGCTCGCTCCCTCACTCACTCGCTCGCACACCCACTCACCCACTCACTCACCCGCTCACACGCTCGCACGCTCACCCGCTCGGTCACCCACTCACCCACCGACTCGCCCACTGACTCACCCACTCACCCTCTCACCTGCTGTGTGTAGTCCGTGGTGACGAGTAACCTGGGCACAGTCAACAACCTCATCCACTCACTCACTCACTCACCCACTCACTCACCCACTCACTCACTCACCCACCCACCCACTCACTCACCCACTCACCCACCCACTCACCCACCCACCCACCCACTCACCCACCCACCCACTCACCCACCCACCCACCCACTCACCCACCCACCCACTCACTCACTCACCCACTCACTCACCCACCCACCCACCCACTCACTCACCCACTCAACCACCCACCCACTCAACCACCCACTCACACACTCACTCACCCACCCACCCACTCACCCACCCACTCACCCACCCACCCACCCACTCACCCACTCACTCACCCACTCACCCACCCACTCACTCACTCACTCACCCACTCACCCACTCACTCACCCACCCACCCACTCACCCACCCACTATGTCTGTGTGTAGCCCGTAGTGACGAGTAACCTGGGCACAGTCAACAACCTCATCCACTCACTCACCCACCCACTCACCCACCCACCCACCCACTCACCCACTCACTCACCCACTCACCCACCCACTCACCCACCCACTCACTCACCCACTCACCCACCCACTCACCCACCCACCCCACTCACCCACCCACTGTGTGTGTAGCCTGTAGTGACGAGTAACCTGGGCACAGTGAACACCTCATCCACTCACCCACCCACCCACTCACTCACTCACTCACCCACCCACTCACTCACTCACCTACCCACTCACCCACCCACCCACTCACCCACCCACCCACTCACCCACTCACCCACCCACTCACCCTCTCACTCACCCACCCACTCACCCACCCACTCACCCACCCACTCACCCACCCACCCACACACCCACCCACCCACTCACCCACTCACCCACTCACTCACCCACCCACCCACCTGCTGTGTCTGTGTGTAGCCCGTAGTGACGAGTAACCTGGGCACAGTGAACAACCTCATCCACTCACTCACCCACTCACTCACCCACTATGTCTGTGTAGCCTGTAGTGACGAGTAACCTGGGCACAGTGAACAACCTCATCCACTCACTCACCCACTCACCCACCCACCCACCCACTCACCCACTCACCCACCCACTCACCACCCACCCACCTGCTGTCTGTGTGTAGCCTGTAGTGACGAGTAACCTGGGCACAGTGAACAACCTCATCCACTCACTCACCCACTCACTCACCCACCCACTCACTCACCCACTCACTCACCCACCCACTCACTCACCCACTCACTCACTCACTCACCCACCCACTCACTCACTCACCCACTCACTCACCCACCCACTCACCCACTCACCCACTCACCCACTCACCCACCCACTCACCCACTCACCCACCCACTCACCCACCCACCTGCTGTCTGTGTGTAGCCTGTAGTGACGAGTAACCTGGGCACAGTGAACAACCTCATCCACTCACTCACCCACTCACCCACCCACTCACCCACCCACCCACTCACTCACCCACTCACCCACCCACTGTGTGTGTAGCCTGTAGTGACGAGTAACCTGGGCACAGTGAACAACCTCATCCACTCACTCACCCACTCACCCACCCACTCACCCACCCACCCACTCACCCACTCACCCACTCACCCACCCACCCACTGTGTGTGTAGCCCGTGGTGACGAGTAACCTGGGCACAGTGAACAACCTCATCCACTCACTCACCCACTCACCCACCCACTCACCCACTCACCCACTCACCCACCCACTCACCCACCCCACCACCCACTGTGTGTGTAGCCCGTGGTGACGAGTAACCTGGGCACAGTGAACAACCTCATCCACCCACTCACCCACTCACCCACCCACTCACCCGCTCACCCACCCACTCACCCACTCACCCACTCACCCACCCACTCACCCACCCACCCACCCACTCACCCACCCACTCACCCACCCACTGTGTGTGTAGCCCGTGGTGACGCGTAACCTGGGCACAGTGAACAACCTCATCCACTCACTCACCCACTCACCCACCCACTCACCCGCTCACCCACCCACTCACCCACTCACCCACTCACCCACCCACCCACTCACCCACTCACCCACTCACCCACCCACTCACCCACCCACTCACCCACCCACCCACCCACTCACCCACCCACTCACCCACCCACTCACTCACCCACCCACTGTGTGTGTAGCCCGTGGTGACGAGTAACCTGGGCACAGTGAACAACCTCATCCACTCACTCACCCACTCACCCACCCACTCACCCGCTCACCCACCCACTCACCCACTCACCCACTCACCCACCCACCCACTCACCCACTCACCCACTCACCCACCCACTCACCCACCCACTCACCCACCCACCCACCCACCCACTCACTCACCCACCCACTCACTCACCCACTCACTCACCCACCCACTCACCCACTGTGTGTGTAGCCCGTGGTGACGAGTAACCTGGGCACAGTGAACAACCTCATCCACTCACTCATCCGCTCACCCACCCACTCACCCACCCACCCACTCACCCACTCACCCACTCACCCACCCACCCACTGTGTGTGTAGCCCGTGGTGACGAGTAACCTGGGCACAGTGAACAACCTCATCCACTCACTCACCCACTCACCCACCCACTCACCCACCCACCCACTCACCCACCCACCCACTCACCCACCCACCCACTGTGTGTGTAGCCCGTGGTGACGAGTAACCTGGGCACAGTGAACAACCTCATCCACTCACTCACCCACTCACCCACCCACTCACCCGCTCACCCACCCACTCACCCCCTCACCCACTCACCCACCCACCCACTCACCCACTCACCCACTCACCCACCCACTCACCCACCCACCCACCCACTCACCCACCCACTCACCCACCCACTCACTCACCCACCCACTGTGTGTGTAGCCCGTGGTGACGAGTAACCTGGGCACAGTGAACAACCTCATCCACTCACTCACCCACTCACCCACCCACTCACCCGCTCACCCACCCACTCACCCACTCACCCACTCACCCACCCACCCACTCACCCACTCACCCACTCACCCACCCACTCACCCACCCACTCACCCACCCACCCACCCACTCACCCACCCACTCACCCACCCACTCACTCACCCACCCACTGTGTGTGTAGCCCGTGGTGACGAGTAACCTGGGCACAGTGAACAACCTCATCCACTCACTCACCCACTCACCCACCCACTCACCCGCTCACCCACCCACTCACCCACTCACCCACTCACCCACCCACCCACTCACCCACTCACCCACTCACCCACCCACTCACCCACCCACCCACCCACTCACTCACCACCCACTCACTCACCCACTCACTCACCCACTCACCCACTCACTCACCCACTGTGTCTCTGTGTAGCCCGTGGTGACGAGTAACCTGGGCACAGTGAACAACCTCATCCACTCACTCACCCACTCACCCACTCACCCACCCACCCACTGTGTGTGTAGCCTGTGGTGACGAGTAACCTGGGCACAGTGAACAACCTCATCCACTCACTCACCCACTCACCCACTCACCCACCCACCCACTGTGTGTGTAGCCCGTGGTGACGAGTAACCTGGGCACAGTGAACAACCTCATCCACTCACTCACCCACTCACCCACTCACCCACCCGCTCACCCACCCACTCACCCACTCACCCACTCACCCACCCACCCACTGTGTGTGTAGCCCGTGGTGACGAGTAACCTGGGCACAGTGAACAACCTCATCCACTCACTCACCCACCCACCCACTGTGTGTGTAGCCCGTGGTGACGAGTAACCTGGGCACAGTGAACAACCTCATCCACTCACTCACCCACCCACCACCTGTTGTGTGTAGCCCGTGGTGACGAGTAACCTGGGCACAGTGAACAACCTCATCCACTCACTCACCCACCCACCCACTGTGTGTGTAGCCCGTGGTGACGAGTAACCTGGGCACAGTGAACAACCTCATCCACTCACTCACCCACTCACCCACCCACTCACCCCCTCACCCACCCACTCACCCACTCACCCACTCACCCACCCACCCACTCACCCACTCACCCACTCACCCACCCACTCACCCACCCACTCACCCACCCACCCACCCACTCACCCACCCACTCACCCACCCACTCACTCACCCACCCACTGTGTGTGTAGCCCGTGGTGACGAGTAACCTGGGCACAGTGAACAACCTCATCCACTCACTCACCCACACACCCACCCACTCACCCGCTCACCCACCCACTCACCCACTCACCCACTCACCCACCCACCCACTCACCCACTCACCCACTCACCCACCCACTCACCCACCCACCCACCCACTCACTCACCCACCCACTCACTCACCCACTCACTCACCCACTCACCCACTCACTCACCCACTGTGTCTCTGTGTAGCCCGTGGTGACGAGTAACCTGGGCACAGTGAACAACCTCATCCACTCACTCACCCACTCACCCACTCACCCACCCACCCACTGTGTGTGTAGCCTGTGGTGACGAGTAACCTGGGCACAGTGAACAACCTCATCCACTCACTCACCCACTCACCCACTCACCCACCCACCCACTGTCTGTGTAGCCCGTGGTGACGAGTAACCTGGGCACAGTGAACAACCTCATCCACTCACTCACCCACCCACCCACTCACCCACCCACCCACTCACTCACCCACTGTGTGTGTAGCCTGTAGTGACGAGTAACCTGGGCACAGTGAACAACCTCATCCACTCACTCACCCACTCACCCACTCACTCACCCACTCACCCACTCACTCACCCACTCACCCACCACCTACCTGTCTGTGTGTAGCCTGTAGTGACGAGTAACCTGGGCACAGTGAACAACCTCATCCACTCACTCACCCACTCACTCACCCACTCACCCACCCACCCACTGTGTGTGTAGCCCGTGGTGACGAGTAACCTGGGCACAGTGAACAACCTCATCCACTCACTCACCCACCCACTCACTCAGCCACTCACCCACTCACTCACTCACCCACTCACCCACCCACGCACCCACTCACCCACCCACCCACCCACTTACTCACCCACCCACTCACCCACCCACTCACCCACCCACCCACTGTGTGTGTAGCCTGTGGTGACGAGTAACCTGGGCACAGTGAACAACCTCATCCACGTGAAGCCCTCTGACTTTGAGGTGATGGACGCCCTGCAGCTCGACTCCATGGAGTCCGTCTCAGACTCAACCGGTACCACGGGGAGGGGGGGCGGGGCATGGGGGGAGGGGGCGGGGCACGGGGGGGGGAGGGGCGGGATACGGGGGGGAGGGGCGGGGCACGGGGGGGAGGGGGCGGGGCACGGGGTGGAGGGGGCGGGGCATTGGGGGGAGGGGGCAGGGCACGGGAGGAGTGAGTGTGAGTTTAGTGGGCGAGTGACAGCGAGTGTGAGTTTAGTGGGTGAGTGACACAGTGAGTGACACAGTGAGTGACACAGTGAGTGACACAGTGAGTGTGAGTTTAGTGAGTGAGTGACACAGTGAGTGACACAGTGAGTGACACAGTGAGTGAGTGACACAGTGAGTGACACAGTGAGTGACACAGTGAGTGAGTGACACAGTGAGTGAGTGACTGAGTGAGTGAGTGACTGAGTGAGTGAGTGACTGAGTGAGTGAGTGACACAGTGAGTGAGTGACACAGTGAGTGAGTGACACAGTGAGTGAGTGACACAGTGAGTGAGTGACACAGTGAGTGAGTGACACAGTGAGTGAGTGACACAGTGAGTGAGTGACACAGTGAGTGAGTGACACAGTGAGTGAGTGACACAGTGAGTGACACAGTGACACAGTGAGTGACACAGTGACACAGTGAGTGACACAGTGAGTGAGTGACACAGTGAGTGAGTGACACAGCGAGTGACTGAGTGAGTGACCCACTACCCCCCCCACCACCCCCCCACTACCCCCCCACTACCCCCCACTACCCTGTAGATGCGTCCAGCTCCCCGCCAGGGCTGTACTCCCAGGAGGCGTTTGTGTACCGTGCTGAGGAGTGTGAGTGAGTTACAGTGAGTGAGTGATACAGTGAGTGAGTTACAGTGAGTGAGTTACAGTGAGTGAGTTACAGTGAGTGAGTTACAGTGAGTGAGTTACAGTGAGTGAGTTACAGTGAGTGAGTTACAGTGAGTGAGTTACAGTGAGTGAGTTACAGTGAGTGAGTTACAGTGAGTGAGTTACAGTGAGTGAGTTACAGTGAGTGAGTTACAGTGAGTGAGTTACAGTGAGTGAGTTACAGTGAGTGAGTTACAGTGAGTGAGTTACAGTGAGTGAGTTACAGTGAGTGAGTTACAGTGAGTGAGTTACAGTGAGTGAGTTACAGTGAGTGAGTGATACAGTGAGTGAGTGATACAGTGAGTGAGTTACAGTGAGTGAGTGATACAGTGAGTGAGTTACAGTGAGTGAGTTACAGTGAGTGAGTTACAGTGAGTGAGTTACAGTGAGTGAGTTACAGTGAGTGAGTTACAGTGAGTGAGTTACAGTGAGTGAGTTAGTGAGTGAGTTACAGTGAGTGAGTGACACACTACCCCCCCCACTACCCCACCCGCCCACCACCCCCCACTACCCCCCCACTACCCCCCACTACCCTGTAGATGCGTCCAGCTCCCCGCCAGGGCTGTACTCCCAGGAGGCGTTTGTGTACCGTGCTGAGGAGCGTGAGTGAGTTACAGTGAGTGAGTTACAGTGAGTGAGTTACAGTGAGTGAGTTACAGTGAGTGAGTTACAGTGAGTGAGTTACAGTGAGTGAGTTACAGTGAGTGAGTTACAGTGAGTGAGTGATACAGTGAGTGAGTTACAGTGAGTGAGTTACAGTGAGTGAGTTACAGTGAGTGAGTTACAGTGAGTGAGTTACAGTGAGTGAGTTACAGTGAGTTACAGTGAGTGAGTTACAGTGAGTGAGTTACAGTGAGTGAGTTACAGTGAGTGAGTTACAGTGAGTGAGTTACAGTGAGTGAGTTACAGTGAGTGAGTTTACAGTGAGTGAGTTACAGTGAGTGAGTTACAGTGAGTGAGTTACAGTGAGTGAGTTACAGTGAGTGAGTTACAGTGAGTGAGTGATACAGTGAGTGAGTGATACAGTGAGTGAGTGATACAGTGAGTGAGTTACAGTGAGTGAGTTACAGTGAGTGAGTGACACACTACCCCTCCACTACCCCACCCGCCCACCACCCCCCCACTACCCCCCCACTACCCCCCACTACCCTGTAGATGCGTCCAGCTCCCCGCCAGGGCTGTACTCCCAGGAGGCGTTTGTGTACCGTGCTGAGGAGCGTTTCCGCGTGCCACCGATGCTGCCGCCGCACCTCCTGCAAGTCATCCTCAACAAGGACACCAACATCTCGGTAGGCTGTGTCGCTGGCTGGCTGTGTCGCTAGCTGTGTCGCTGGCTGTGTCTCCCACTAGCTGTGTCTCTCGCTGTGTCGCTCGCTGTGTCGCTGGCTGGCTGTGTCGCTAGCTGTGTCGCTGGCTGTGTCGCTAGCTGTGTCGCTGGCTGTGTCGCTGGCTGTGTCGCTGGCTAGCTGTGTCACTCGCTGGCTGTGTCGCTGGCTGTGTCGCTGGCTGTGTCGCTGGCTGTGTCGCTGGCTGTGTCTCCCGCTAGCTGTGTCACTGGCTGTGTCTCCCGCTGGCTGTGTCTCCCGCTGGCTGTGTCTCTCGCTGGCTGTGTCTCCCGCTAGCTGTGTCTCTCGCTGGCTGTGTCTCTGGCTGTGTCTCCCGCTAGCTGTGTCTCTGGCTGTGTCTCCCGCTGGCTGTGTCTCCCGCTGGCTGTGTCGCTGGCTGTGTCTCCCGCTGGCTGTGTCTCTCGCTGGCTGTGTCTCCCGCTAGCTGTGTCTCTGGCTAGCTGTGTCTCCCGCTGGCTGTGTCTCCCGCTAGCTGTGTCTCCCGCTGGCTGTGTCTCCCGCTAGCTGTGTCTCCCGCTGGCTGTGTCTCCCGCTAGCTGTGTCTCTCGCTGGCTGTGTCTCCCGCTAGCTGTGTCTCCCGCTGGCTGTGTCTCCCGCTAGCTGTGTCTCTCGCTGGCTGTGTCTCCCGCTAGCTGTGTCTCTCGCTGGCTGTGTCTCCCGCTAGCTGTGTCTCCCGCTAGCTGTGTCTCCCGCTAGCTGTGTCTCCCGCTGGCTGTGTCTCTAGCTGTGTCTCCCGCTAGCTGTGTCTCTAGCTGTGTCTCCCGCTAGCTGTGTCTCCCGCTGGCTGTGTCTCCCGCTGGCTGTGTCTCCCGCTAGCTGTGTCTCCCGCTAGCTGTGTCTCTGGCTAGCTGTGTCTCCCGCTAGCTGTGTCTCCCGCTCGCTGTGTCTCCCGCTGGCTGTGTCTCCCGCTAGCTGTGTCTCTAGCTGTGTCTCCCGCTAGCTGTGTCTCCCGCTAGCTGTGTCTCTGGCTGTGTCTCCTGCTGGCTGTGTCGCTGGCTGTGTCGCTGGCTGTGTCGCCTGCTGTCTGTGTCGCCTGCTGTCTGTGTCTCTGGCTGTGTCGCTTGCTGGCTGTGTCGCTGGCTGTGTCACTGGCTGGCTGTGTCGCTGTCTGTGTCGCTGGCTGTGTCGCTCACCTGCTGTCTGTGTCGCCGGCCACTGCTGCTACTCGCTGACGGCTCTTGCCCCAAGACTTTGGGAGGGGCTGTCCGTGGTACCTGTCTGTGTGTGGCTGTCTGTGTGTGTGTCTGTCTGTGTGTGTGTCAGTGTGCGTGTGGCTGTCTGTGTGTGTCACTGTGTGTGTGTGTGTGTGTCAGTGTGCGTGTGGCTGTCTGTGTGTGTCACTGTGTGTGTGTGTGTGTGTCAGTGTGCGTGTGGCTGTCTGTGTGTGTCACTGTGTGTGTGTGTGGCTGTCAGTGTGTGTGTGTGGCTGTGTGTGTGTGTGACTGTCAGTGTGTGTGTGTCTGACTGTGTGTGTGTGTGTCTGTGTGTGACTGCGACTGCGACTGTGTGACTGCGACTGTGTGTGTGTGTGACACTGTGTGTGTCACTGTGTGTGTCACTGTGTGTGTCACTGTGTGTGTGTGTGACACTGTGTGTGTGTGTGACACTGTGTGTGTGTGTGTGACACTGTGTGTGTGTGTGACACTGTGTGTGTGTGTGTGTGTGACACTGTGTGTGTGTGTGACACTGTGTGTGTGTGTGACACTGTGTGTGTGTGTGACACTGTGTGTGTGTGACACTGTGTGTGTGTGTGACACTGTGTGTGTGTGTGTGTGACACTGTGTGTGTGTGTGTGTGACACTGTGTGTGTGTGTGTGACACTGTGTGTGTGTGTGTGTGACACTGTGTGTGTGTGTGTGTGACACTGTGTGTGTGTGTGTGTGACACTGTGTGTGTGTGTGACACTGTGTGTGTGTGTGTGACACTGTGTGTGTGTGTGTGACACTGTGTGTGTGTGTGTGACACTGTGTGTGTGTGTGTGACACTGTGTGTGTGTGTGTGTGACACTGTGTGTGTGTGACACTGTGTGTGTGACACTGTGTGTGTGTGTGACACTGTGTGTGTGTGTGTGTGACACTGTGTGTGTGTGTGACTGATTGTGACTGACAGTGTGACCCTGCCCTGCTGCCCGAGCCAAACCACGTGATGCTGAACCATCTCTACGCCCTGTCCATCAAGGTAAACACGCACACACATCACACACACCACACATACACACATCACATGCACACACATCACACACATACACACTCATCACACTCATCACACACCACACACACACATCACACACACATCACACACACATCACACATACCACACACACACATCACACACACCACACACACACATCACACACACCACACACACACATCACACACACCACACACACACATCACACACACATCACACACACATCACACACACACATCACACACACACATCACACACACACATCACACACACACATCACGCACACCACACACGCACACATACACATCACACACACACAACAACAACAACCGCCATTCGCCACTAAGTGGCGGTGACGTCACCACGACGCTTGTGCCAGGCTATGTGCACCCTGAGGCCACGTGAGGTGTCGAACGCCCGCTGGCAGGAGGTCACGGGGCAGACCCAGGTGCCACGGGTCGACTGACTGAGATGACTGGCTGATGCACCACCTGTGCCCCCTACTGTGCCAACCTGCTGTGCTTTAGCCACCCGGCGCTCCGCTCGTTGTTGTGAGCGTCGCTCCTCCGCCCTCCGTTGTTGTTGGAGGGCGACTGCCTCCAACTGCCCAGTAGCATCCTTCACGAGCCTCCTCCACAGAGGCCGATCTTGACACCGCTGGTACCAGTCATCGGCAAGTCCACTCAGCTCCACGTCCTCCTGTACCACATCACTCCATCTCTTCTCTAGCCCGTGCCGCGCCCGCTTAGCCCCCTCAATCCGGCCAAACAAAAGCTGTTTCGGCATGCGGTGGCTGGGCATGCGGGCTACATGACCCAGCCATCGCAGCCTTGCCTGCCGGAGGAGCTCACCGATGGGACCCTGCCCAGATCTTTCAAGGATTTGTGAGCTCCTCACACAATCCAGTCTGGTTAAACCCAGGATGGATCGTAGGCAGGCCAGCCTAAATGTTTCTAACCGACGAAGATGTTCCATTAGGGGGTCCACGTTTCGCAAGCATAGAGAAGGGAGGGAATGACCGTGGCCGAGAAGACCTGAAGCTTAGTGCGGAGCGACAGACCAGGTAGCTTCCACACAGCGTTACGCAACCGATGAAAAGATATTGCCGCTCGACTGATTCGGAGTGAGACCTCTGCTGTTAAAACTGGAGCCAGTCATAAGCACACTGCCCAGGTATGGGAAACTCTCCACTCTCTCCACAACTGCCCCATCACCGATTGGGAGTTGTGGGGGTGGAGTGTCCGATGGTACAAAATACCCAGGCAGGTGCTTAGTTTTGGTGGGGCTGATGGTAAGGCCCCACCTCTTAGTGACACGCTCCAGTCTCAGCAGCAGCGTCTCCAACTCCTCCTCTGACTGAGCAGCTATTACCAAGTCATCAGCATACATAACGTGGTTGAGCAATAGGGAGCCATCCCTTGACCGCACCCGGGCATCGATTAGCCTCCCATTATATCTGTACCATATGGAGATTCCCCCGGTACAGCACACACATCACACACACGCACACACACATCACACACACGCACACACACATCACACACACGCACACACACATCACACACACGCACACACACATCACACCACACACACACACATATCACACACATCACACACACATATCACACACACTACACACACACATATCACACACACTACACACACACACCACACACACACACCACACACACCACACACACCACACACACACCACACACACCACACACACATCACATCACACACACACCACACACACACCACACACACCACACACACATCACATCACACACACACCACACACACCACACACACCATACACACACACACCACACACACCACACACACCACACACACCACACACACACACCACACACACCACACACACCACACACACCACACACACACCACACACACCACACTACACACACACACCACACACACACATCACACACCACACACACACACTACACACACACATCACACACCACACACACACACCACACACACACACCACACACACACATCACACACCACACACATACATCACACACACATATCACACACACACATCACACACACACACCACACACACATCACACACACACCACACACACACCACACACACACCACACACACACCACACACACACCACACACCACACACACACACACCACACACACCACACACACCACACACACCACACACACCACACACACACACCACACACCACACACACACCACACACACACCACACACACCACACACACCACACACACCACACACACCACACACACCACACACACACCACACACACCACACTACACACACACACCACACACACCACACTACACACACACACCACACACACACATCACACACCACACACACACACTACACACACACACCACACACACACATCACACACCACACTCACACACCACACACACACATCACACACACACATCACACACCACACACCACACACACCACACACACCACACACACACCACACACACACCACACACACCACACACACACACCACACACATCACATCACACACCACACACACACCACACACACACCACACACACACCACACACACACCACACACACCACACACACCACACACACACCACACACACCACACACATCACACACCACACACACCACACACACCACACACACACCACACACCACACACACACCACAGACACACACCACACACACCACACACATCACACCACACACATCACACACATCACACCACACACACACACACCACACACACACCACACACACCACACACACCACACACATCACACCACACACACACACACCACACACACCACACACCACACACACCACACACCACACACACCACACACCACACACACCACACACACACCACACACACCACACCACACACACCACATCACACACACCACACACACCACACACACCACACACCACACACACCACACACACCACACACACCACACACACCACACACACCACACACACCACACACACCACACACACCACACACACCACACACACCACACCACACACACCACACCACACACACCACACACACCACACACACCACACACACCACACACACACACACCACACACACACCACACACACCACACACATCACACACACACACCACACACACCACACACACCACACACACACACCACACACACCACACACACCACACACACCACACACACCACACACACACCACACACACCACACACACCACACACACCACACCACACACACCACCCACACCACAGACACACCACACACACACATCACACACACCACACACACACACACACCACAAACACACCACACACACAACACACCACACACACACCACCCCACAAACACACCACCCACACACCCACACCACAAACACCCCACACACACACACCCCACACCCCACCCACACCACACACACACCACACACACCACACACACCACACACTCACACACACACCACACACACACACCACACACACCACACACTCACACACACATCACATCACACACACCACACACACCACACACACCACACACACACCACACACACCACACACACCACACACACCACACCACACACACCACCCACACCACAGACACACCACACACACACATCACACACACCACACACACACACACACCCCCACACACACACCACACACACAACACACCACACACACACCACACACACCACACACACACCACACACACCACACACACACCACACACACCACACACACCACACACACCACACACACACCACACACACCACACACACCACACACACCACACACACACCACACACACACACCACACACACCACACACTCACACACACATCACATCACACACACACACACCACACACTCACACACACATCACATCACACACACACACACCACACACACACCACACACACCACACACACACCACACACACCACACACACCACACACACCACACCACACACACCACCCACACCACAGACACACCACACACACACATCACACACACCACACACACACACACACCCCCACACACACACCACACACACAACACACCACACACACACCACACACACACCACACACACCACACACACCACACACACCACACACACCACACACACACCACACACACCACACACACCACACACACACCACACACACCACACACACCACACACTCACACACACACCACACACACACACCACACACACCACACACTCACACCACACACACCACACACTCACACACACATCACATCACACACACCACACACTCACACCACACACACCACACACTCACACACACATCACATCACACACACCACACACACACCACACACACCACACACACACACCACACACACACCACACACACCACACACACACCACACACACCACACACCACACACACCACACACACCACACACACACACCACACACTCACACACACATCACATCACACACACACTACACACACCACACACACACACCACACACTCACACACACCACACACACCACACACACCACACACACCACACACACACCACACACACCACACACACCACACACTCACACACACACACACCACACACACCACACACACACACCACACACTCACACACACATCACATCACACACACACTACACACACCACACACACACACACACACTACACACACCACACACACACACCACACACTCACACACACCACACACACCACACACACCACACACACACCACACACACCACACACACACACACCACACACACACCACACACACCACACACACACCACACACACCACACACACACTCACACACACCACACACACTCACACACACCACACACACCACACACACACCACACACACACCACACACACACCACACACACACCACACACACACCACACACACCACACACACACCACACACACACCACACACACCACACACACACCACACACACACCACACACACTCACACACACCACACACACCACACACACCACACACACCACACACACACCACACACACACCACACACACCACACACACCACACACACACCACACACACACCACACACACACACCACACACCACACACCACACACACCACACACCACACACACACCACACACACACCACACACACCACACACACACCACACACACACCACACACACACCACACACACACCACACACACTCACACACACCACACACACCACACACACCACACACACCACACACACACCACACACACACCACACACACCACACACACACACACACACCACACACCACACACACCACACACCACACACACACACCACACACCACACACACACACCACACACCACACACACCACACACCACACACACACCACACACACACCACACACACACTCACCACACACACACCACACACACCACACACACACACCACACACACACACCACACACACACACCACACACACACACCACACACACACATCACACACACCACACACACCACACACCACACACACACACCACACACACCACACACACACACTCACACCACACACTCACACCACACACACCACACACACCACACACCACACACACCACACACACCACACACACCACACACACACCACACACACCACACACTCACACCACACACACACACCACACACTCACACCACACACACACACCACACACACACTACACACACACACACACTACACACACTCACACCACACACACCACACACACCACACCACACCACACACACCACACACACCACACACACCACACACACCACAGACAGACGCTGCTGCTACTCTCTACTGCAGCACTGTGGATTACCTTGGGGACTGTCTTTGTGTGTGCTGGTGCGTGTGTGTGTTGGTGCGTGTGTGGTGCGTGTGGTGTGCTGGTGTGTTGGTGCGTGTGTGTGCGTGTGTGTGGGTGTCTTTGTGTGTGCTGGGGCGTTGGTGTGCGTGTGTGTGGTGTGTTGGCGCGTGTGTGTTGGCGTGTGTGTGGTGTGTTGGTGTGTGTTGGTGCGTGTGTGGTGCGTGTGGTGTGCTGGTGTGTTGGTGCGTGTGTGTGCGTGTGTGTGGGTGTCTTTGTGTGTGTTGGTGCGTGTGTGGTGCGTGTGGTGTGCTGGTGTGTTGGTGCGTGTGTGTGCGTGTGTGTGGGTGTCTTTGTGTGTGCTGGGGCGTTGGTGTGCGTGTGTGTGGTGTGTTGGCGCGTGTGTGTTGTGCGTGTGTGGTGTGTTGGTGTTGGTGTGTGTGGTGGTGTGTGGTGGTGTGTTGGTGTGTGTGGTGTTGGTGTGGTGTGTGTTGGTGTGTGTTGGTGCGGTGCGTGTTGGTGTGTGTGGTGTGTTGTGTGTGTGGTGGGTGTGCGTGTGTGGTGTGTTGGTGTGGTGTTGGTGTGTTGGTGCGGTGTTGGTGTGTGCGTGTGTTGGTGTGGTGTTGGTGTGGTGTTGGTGTGGTGTTGGTGTGGTGTTGGTGTGTTGGTGTGGCGTTGGTGTTGGTGTTGGTGTGTTGGTGCATGTGTTGGTGTGTGTTGGTGCGTGTGTTGGTGTGGCGTGTGGTGTTGGTGTGTTGGTGCGTGTGCAGGACGGTGTGATGGTGCTGAGCGCCACGCACCGCTTCAAGAAGAAGTACGTCACCACGCTCATGTACAAGCCCATCTGAGCCCCCCGCGTGCCAGGGTCGGTGCACACGCACGTGTACGCACACGCACCGGTACACGCATACACACACACACGTGCACCGTGGACACGTGCCCGTGGACACGTGCCCGTGGACACGTGCCCCGTGGACACGTGCCCGTGGACACGTGCCCCGTGGACACGTGCACCGTGGACACGTGCACCGTGGACACGTGCCCGTGGACACGTGGACACGTGCCCCGTGGACACGTGCCCCGTGGACACGTGCCCCGTGGACACGTGCCCCGTGGACACGTGCCCCGTGGACACGTGCCCCGTGGACACGTGCCCCGTGGACACGTGCCCGTGGACACGTGCATCGTGGACACGTGCCCCGTGGACACGTGCCCCAGTCAAGACTCTCTTTGCGTGTGTCACAGTGCCGGCCATACCGCGGCCCAGCCGCTCGCCTCTGCAATCGGCGCCTGCCACCCCGCGGCCTGCGGAGGCCAGCCAGGGCCCGGAGGGCCGGCCAGGGCCCAGGTTGATGG